GAGATCCAGCTGCCTTAATCAACATGCCACTGGCTAGCCCTCCCAAAACAAATGTTTTTAATTAAGGTAGCAAAATGGTACAAGGGGAAATCCCAATAGAGCCCAATGGCCTCTCTAAAACTGAAGAGACAGATTGAGAATTCAGATGGGAAAATTGCTTCAGAAAGAATTATGGAGACCCTTCTGAGGGGTTTCCTCTATTATTCAACAGAATACTTATCAACCCGTGCATGTTGAGGAAACTATCCAATGCTGGAGAAAGAGTCACCCAAAAATATTAAAGGGAATAATCACTGGTGCTCACAGAGGGCCAGGAATAGTATTTGTTCCCAACAGCTAAACTGGAAAATCTCATGATTCATGGGACACTGGGTCAAATACTCAAGGAGTTTGCCTCAGTCATGGGGAAAAATTGTCTGTAGACTAAACACATTTCTGATCTCAACTAATAAATCTTAAAAGCAAGACTGGAAAGTATCAAGTTATTTTCAAGTAATTTAACTGCATCCCAGAACAAAGCTTAAGAATATTTATAAGAATACAAAAATATACAGCACCAAACAAGAGAAAACTCATAAAATCTGGCATCTAATAAAAAATTACCAGACATGCAAAAAGTCAAGAAAATACAGCCCATAATGAAAAGTGACGAATCAAAACTGACCCAGATCTGACATAGATGTTAGAAACAGTAGGTAAGGACCTTAAAAAATCATTATAACTGTATTTCATATGTTCAAAAGCTAGGGAACCAGCAGTTAGTGTAATGGCTATGTCGCTGGACTCCCACGTAGTCAACCACGGTTCGCATCCTGGACCTGGTGGCTTAAAACTCACACCGGGCACATGCGCATGCGTGCCCAAGATCCCGAGAGGAGAATGGAGGAGAAGGGATTGTGGCGTGACCATCCCCCCTAGGGGATGATTTCTCACTTTCTGTCTCTATGTCTCTCTCTGTCTGTCTGGCGAGCGCACGTGCCCTATAGCGAAAAACCTCTCAAAAAAAAAAAAAAAAGCTAGAGGATGGCTGAATATCTTATGTAGCGATATGGAAAAATATTTTTAAAAGTCCCAGCCAACTACAGTGGTAATGCTCTGTGATTCCTTGTGTTTTGTGATTCTTTGACCACATGAGAAGGTCATAGGTTCTCACGCTGAGGTCTCCCTGTACATGTGTTTGTGTCCCCTGTGATCCTGGTTACATGAGGTTAGAGGTAGGTTATGGTGTGAAGACCCCATTGGAGATTACTCTGTCTTTCTCGCTCTTTATCACATGGAAGAAATAAATCAATAAACTTCTAAAAAATAAGAACCAAATAAAACTTCCAGGGATAAAACTATAATATCTGGGATGAAAAATAGACTGGTGGGGCCAACAAGTGGCAAGGTGGTTAAGGCACTGGACTCACACATGGTCAACCACTGTTCAAGTCTTGGAACTGGTGACTTGCTTTCTTGCTTACACTTTCTCTCTGTCTGGTAAATTAAAAAATAATAATAATAAATAAATTTAAATAAATAACTCTATAAAAATATGCTGGAAGTGTTAATGGCACATTAGGCATTATAGGAACAAAAGGTCAGTGAACTTGAAGACCTATCAATAGAAATGATCCAAAAAGAAATGTACAGAGGAAGAATAGACTCTACAATACTATGCTGGGACACTTACAGTTTGATAATGGTTTGTCCCCCAAAGGTTCATGTTTTGGGACTTAATTGTATTGTTAAGGTATAAGTGAAAACTTAATCTTTTCATAGTGTCCTAGGGTGGGGCCTTTTGATATGATAAGGTCATTAGGATGAGGCCTCTATGACTGAGTTCTGGTTTGTATATAAGAGAGTTAAGACCAGAACAGACAGAAACTTAGGGAAAGCTGCTTTGCTCAAAATCCTGCCTTCCATCATTTTATGGTACCTTTGGACCTTCCACTGGGCCAGAGTTGTGAGTCAAATAAACCTTTATTTTCTTCAATTCAACCAATTTCAGATATTCTTGAAAGCAACACAGTAACAGTCTAAGACAGAAATGATTTGTCCCCCAAAGGTTCATGTGCTAGAAACTTGGTCCCCAATGTAATGGTGTTGAAAGCTGATAGGACCTTAAAAAGGTGAGACGACCTAGTAGATAGCATTTGGATAGTATTTTGATGTCTTGAATAGATTAATGCCATCCAGCTATCAAAGGAATGGGTTAGTTCCTGCAAGAGTGGGGTTTGTTTTTTTTTTGAGAGGTTTTTTTGCCATAGGGCGTGTGCGCTCGCCAGACAGACAGAGCGAGACAGAGAGATAGAAAGCGAGGGAACCAGCAGTTAGCGTAATGGCTATGTCACTGGACTCCCACGTAGTTGACCGCGGTTCATGTCCCGGACCTGGTGGCTTAAAACTCACGCCGGGTGCGTGTGCGTGCATGCCCAAGATCCTGAGAGGAGAATGGAGGAGAAGGGATTGCGGCGTGACCATCCCCCTTGGGGGGTGATTTCTCGCTTTCTGTCTCTATGTCTCTCCCTGTCTGTCTGGTAAGCGCATGCGCCCTATAGCAAAAACCTCTCCAAAATAAAAAAAAAGAAAGCGAGAAATCACCCCTCCCAAGGGGGATGGCCACGCCCTATAGCAAAAAACCTCCACTCCAAAAAAAAATATTTGAAAAAATAATGGTCAAAATTTTTAAAATTTTCAGAAGTCAATTGATAATGTATAAAATTGAAAAAAATATAATAGCAATGTTATTTGGAAATATGATGGTCACACCAATACCAAAAAAAAAAATACCAATAGAGTTAAAATTGTTTTTGCTTTATTTCAAAAGTGTAGACTATCGTACTAGATTCCCTAAATTTTAATCCTGCCTCTTCCCCTTGATGGTTAGGCAATCTTAGGCAAGTCTCAAATTCTCTGAGCCTTGTTCTCTCATTTATACAATGGTAAATAGTCACATGTACCTCATAAGGTTTTTGAGAGGATTAAATGAGTTAATACTTATAAAGGCCCAAAATAACGTCTGGCACAAAGTAAGTGCTCAGTATTATTATTATTATTGGAGAAACAATAATAATAAATTGGAGATGCAGAGATTAATCATTCCTGTAATACAAGTTCTGATAATATTTTACATTGTTAATTGTACAAATTATTTAATTACAAAATAGTGTAAAAAGAAGTGATATTTTAACTATATACAAGGGGTCACCTCCATATAAATAAGAAGGCATATGGACAAAGCACAAAGGGACAACTCTTCCATTATAAGTAGAAGAAAGGTGAAGTAATGGATATGGATGTAGATATGACCAGTAGTTTGGAATGAGAAGTTGAAAAACTTACCATTTCATGAATATTGTTCTTTATGAATTATGAGGGCATTTGCTGAACAAGAGCAGAAAGGTTGCAGGGTTGGAAGTTTGAGGTGAGTGTAAAAGATTTGAAGCAACCATTATGGGGACAAGTTAAAAAGAAAGCTGACGGAAGCAACACAGAAATTTTCCAGGTCAGTACAGACAACCTGGGTAAGATAAGTCATAAATTTGTGGTACAGTAGCACCAGCCTTTCTGGTTATGTGATTTGCTCCAGCACCTGAAACATACACACGGAAAAGATGAGAATAGCTGGGCTGATTCATGATTGGGGATTTTACCAGGTTGGTGTGATAAAAGGACACCAGAGCAAGGGAACTGAGGACATTGAGAAGAGAGTAGCTAAAGTAAGAAATCACAGATCCTAAATAGGCTAAAGAATGAAGTGAAGCTAGGAGGAAGCTGATACGTAGGAAGAAAGTATAGGCACCAGGACTCAGATGTCCCAGATGTATTTGAAGAAAAAAATAGACTTTTAAACATAGAAAGTTGTAGTTTGAAGCTGGGATGCTGTGATTTATGATGTTAGTGCAATTCTGAGTCATAGTGAGGTTCAATGTCTGATCCATGGAAGTGGGTGGATGAAGTGGAGCAGAAGTAAAAGTCACTGAAGGAGGGGATGTTAAGGAGGCTTGACGAATAGAACATTAGATGGATCAGCATATGATGCTGCCGAAGTCACCCCAAAATAATGGCAGAGGCAATAGGAGGAAGATTGTGTCTGGAGCAAAAGTCTTAAATGAATGAGAGGGAGATAGGAAGAGGTGAAATTTGACCCAAGGAGCCACTGTAGCCCCTTGAAGCTTTGGTGACTATACTGAACAATGTTTCACTTTAAACTGTGGATGGGCTTCTACAGATCCATGAGTCCTCTAAAATTGTATACAAAATTCTATGTGTCTGTATCTAAAATGCATTCCCTGCCCTTCCTGAGGAAGTTTCATGACTTTCATCAAAATTTCAAGGAATGAATAATTTAAAAAAGCCTAAGAATGACTGGTCTAAAGGATTTATGTGAGGAACAACTAAATGAAAACAATAGAAACTGCACATAGACTAGGAAAAGCACTCAACCATCAACATAATTAAAAATTTCTCAGACCCTGCACCAATACCATCAGAAAAAGCTCAAGACCTGAGCAAGCAGTGGGGATATATGGCAGTAAACAGAGCTGGTGCATGGCTATGCAGTAAAAGAACTGACAGGGGACAGCTGAAGTGGCACAGCAGTAATACAACACTCCATGTTGCTTAGGTCATGGGAAGGTTCTGAGGTTTCTATACATGGAGACATGCATGTAGGAGCCCATGATCCTGGCTGGCTGAAGCTGTGGTGGATCACATAGTGACCCTATTGGGGGTGTCCCCTTCCTCACAGAAGAAATGAGTAAATAACGTTTCAAAAAGTAACCGAAATTTAGTGAAATAAATAAACAAAACAAAGTAGAAGACTGGCAAGCTGAAGAGATGGAGGGAAGGGTCCAGAAACCCACAGGGCAGTAACTACCTAGCTGAGGCTCAGTAACTACCTAGCTGGTAAATCTTCAGGTGGTAGCTACCACATATATGCCTAAACAGAGTCAAGTGACTTTATGCTGGCCACTTTTCGAAGGAGCAGGCATTTCAAAAGAATACAAGGAACTCACCTCTCAGCAATATTTTTTGCAGACTGTAGAAACCGTGCCTGGTCATTTTCTTTCAGAATATGCTCGGCTTGGTTGATGAGGACTGTTGACCGTTCAAGACACTGGCGGCAATTAGCAACCTGCTGAGCCAACTTTCTCAGTTTCATAACCTTAAAAGAATAAGTAAAAGGAAAAAAAATAACATAAAGAATACAGTGCTTTATTAAAAGCAATAAAACTACATTAAGGAGATCTGCTGCAGTGACTCTAAAAATAAGGCTTCTTCATATCCCATGGTTCCTGTACCAAGGACTAACCTTCTCACTCTGCCTACTAAGTATCTCTTGTCAATTCCTTCTTCTCCCATCTACTTTGCAACACAGTCATACATCCTTATAATGTACCTCTTTTTTATATTAATAGCATTAATCTTTCTGATTATAAAAGAAAGCTCATTATAGAAAATTTAGAAAATAAATAGTATAAAAAGAAACCCTACCACCCAGAGATCACCATTGCTTACATTTTATTGTCAATATATTTTTACCTATTTGTTTAGAAAAAAGTACCTCCTTTTTTCTTATAAGTACCTACATTTCTACGTATATATTTCTCTAAATATATACATACACATGTGTATGTATATATTTCTCATACCTGTGTGTTCAGAAATTTGTGTTCTTGGAAACTTCAATTTCTGTTTTAGCTGGAAGTACTCAGCATAGCACAAATCACTGGCAATCACTCCAGGCTTTCATAACTTTTCACGATGTATACACCATATGAGCTTAAAATTACTAACACTGACTAGCAGGGCAAGTCTAAAAACCATATAGCTGCATGGGGGTTTACACCTCAACTTCTTGCCATAATTCTTCAGTTTCCAGGTTAGAAACCTGGCAGCCTTCATTGAATCTTCTCTCTCCTTCATCTTATATATAAAATAAGTCAATGAGTCTTAATCATTTTCTTTCTAGCAATGCCTGTTATGGTCTTCTCTTCCATTTGTGCTGCCACTACTGTGGTTTAGCTGCATTAACTCATAAAAAGAATCATTCCATAACCTACATAATTTGCTTTCTGACTTTGGAACCATTTCTTTCTCTATACTTATGCCATAGAAATCAGTTTTCTCCCTTCCCAAGAAATGAGAATGGCTTCCAAATATCTTTTGGATTAAGCCAAAGTCTTCATACTGGCACTTAAGATCTCTCCATAATTCTGGCCTATATTTGTACTATTACTTTTTTTTTTCTTTTCCTTTTTTGTATTGGCTTACATAATAGTAATGCATTCACATCCTAAGTGTACACCTTAGTGAATTTTTGCACATACTTACACCCATGAAACCACCAACCAGGTCAAGATAAAGAATGTTTCCAACACCCCAGAACTGCCATCATTTTATTGGATTCATAGCACTAGGCCAAACACTGCTTCTTCTTTTCCTCTCTCCCTACAGCCTCATTTCTTCTTGCTTGTATGATCCAAATTCAAACTGGAATAATCAGGAATAAAATTTTGACATTTGTAAAGGCAACTCTTCCTTGGTCTCATGGAAGTGTTGTGCTTTACCTTTGTCTCTTTGATTTTGACAGCAATCATTTGCTTCCTCTGCTGGATGATCTCTACCAACTCGTCACATTCTTCCATAAGTTTTGCCTCATGCATAGCAGTATTCACCTGCCAAGAAAGTCCAGAGTATTACACAGTGATTCTTGCCTTTGTCTCCTGCTGGCTCTAAAAGGTTCGGACTGACAGCTAAGCATGCACAACTTCTTCCATACCTCCCTCTTAAGATCCACTCCTAGAAGAAGGGTAGAGATGATGATTAAATGATGCAAGGGCATTGAAGCACCACAGATAGGAAGCTCTCCGGGCCTCTGGTAGATCATGATGGTTAATGGAAGGCTGGGCAAAAGGACAGATGAGATGGGGGCATGTTATTCCCACTGTGCAATTCCCTTGACTCAAGCACCCTGCACTCCTGCCGTTCTTTTAGAAAGAGGGTAAGGAGATTTAGGTATGTTAAGAAAAGAAGATTCCTCTCCACAGGCATAATAATATTAAGATAACATTACAAAAACTTATTTCTACTGAGTTAACCACTTTTTTTTTGTTTTCCTTGTTCTTTTCTAATTATTACATATATAATTGTGCAGATACAATTTCATATTAAATATATGAATGTGTAGATATTTTTCACATAGTTATGTTTTAGTGGATATTTCTCACTTTGGACTGTCCAGTATTTGAGTACCTTTCTTATTTTGGAATGCTGACTACATCAAACTATCTCTACTGCAAAGTCAGGGTGAGGTTGAAAAAAAAATCACCATGCTTCATAGTCTTTCCAGGGACTGATTTATCCTTCTCCTTATTTCGAGTGTTATCATCAGTGGATAGGACAGAATCCATCTCACCCCTCCAGAGGGGCTAAAACGAGAGGAGGGTATCTTTGGGTTGTGCAAGCACAAAGGAAAATGAAGGCGAGAGGAACTAATCTCTTTTAACCACTTGATGCGCCAACGCTTCATAGATATAGGAATTATTTCATATAAAAATGATTTTATAAGTGTCATTTTATTCCCATTTCACAGATGGGGGAACTGAGAATCAGAACATTTTTAGTGACTTTCTGGAGAATCACACAGCTAGTTAAGTGGTAAACCATAATTCAAACCAAATTCTGTCATGTGAAACCCCTGGGCAGGCCTGGTGAGCGGATGAGGTTCAGTTCCATTTTAGCAGCACACAGACCAGGCACACGGAAAAGCACAATCATTCCAAGAATATATTCAAGGATCACTTGAGGTGAGCTCTAGAAGGCTGAGGAATAGACAATGAGTTACTTGAGAATATGAAAACTCAAGGGCTAGCTGTACTTCATTAGCAAGGTAGGGTTGCATTTTCAATTGCTATCTCTCTTAGAGAGTTTCTTACGTATTCCAAGCCAGAAGAATACCTGTCACTAGACCTGCTGCCTTGTTTCTCATCCTCTAAGGTCCCTGCTGGTTAAATTTTCTGGTTTTTACTTAAGTAAAGTAAAATACATTTGTGGTGTGTGACAACTTCATTTTGCTTTATGTATTTCCACTTTCTGGGCAGAGTGCCACAATGGGAGCTTGTACTTACTCTAAATGAAGTCCCCTTCTGGCCCCCTTTTTTCTCGCAGACATCTCTTCCTTCCCCTAAATTGGATCTACTTCTCTAAGGCAGATACTGTATCATCTCAAGGAATTTCCACTCATCTAAGAATAAAAGATTCATCTGTCTCTCCCTGGGTCCTTGCTTAGAGTATGTGAAAATTTAGGCACTTTCCACTTACAGTTTCTTTTTGGGGCAGCGGCAGGTGTAGTATGCCTTAGACCTTATTGCGATTTGGAAGTTGGACTAACTTTTACATAACAGTCACTATATGCTAGGCACTGCTCCAATCAGTTTGCATATATTAGCTCTCTCAATCCTTGAAACAGCACTGTGAAGTAAGTACCATTACTCCATTTGACAAATGAAGAAACCTGAGCACAGAGAGATGAAGAGATTAAGTGACTCAAGGCTACACCACTAGTAAGTGGTAGAGATGGGATGTGGACACAAGTATGACTGTAGAATCCACACAGTTAACCATTACAATTACTGTCTCTCCTGTCTAGTGTTAACTACATCCCTATTTTCGGTTTCTGACCATCATTCTCTTTTCCACCATCCATCTTTATTCTGTCATTTTTCTGTTTAGTCATTTCAGACTCCTTTGTTGGTCTCCTAGGATGCCATACAGTTTCATATACCGTGCCTTTATCTGAGACTGTGCTTTTACTCAGAAAGTCACCTCCCCATTCATTTATTAGACAGATGCCTAGCTATAGCTCAAGGTTTCGCTCAAACATAGTCCACTTTTGTAATTTTTTTTTTTAATTTGTCAGAGGACACATATACTCTCC